ACACATCCCCGACTGACCAAGATAAACTTACATCTTCCCAAAACTCAATTAGAGAAGATGAGGATGAGGAATAAGAGTCCTTGTGTGGCAGGAAGTGATGTGAGGAAAACAAAAGACAAACAAAAATAAAAACTGGTGAAAAAATAAATAATGAAGTGAAGAAAACATCTTAATGGAGAGCAGAGAATCAAAGTCGTGGATTTGAATCACTTGTCGTGCTCATAACCAGATTTTCTCTGTAATGCTTACATCGAACTGGTCGAGCGCTGAGGTGGGGGCGTTGAGAAAAGCCAGGAAGGAATTCTGGGAATCCTGGTGCTTGACACCTATAGTCACAGGACAAACAGGACAACCATTGTTAAGAACACAATATCAACACATCAAAGGGTGACTTACACGAGTCACAGGACTGCCTCAGAGCTGGGCGCAGATTCACGAGCAACAATACATTTTTCTGTACACATACGAGTCCCGAGCGTCTGCTTGCTGCATAACCCTCCTGCAGTGTGATAATCTCCAGCGCCCATTCAGCCACAGCACGCGTGCTCACCTCGCCGTAGCCGCAGCTCCTCCGTCTCCTTTTTCAGACGCTCGATCTCAGTCAGCAGTTCCTGGTTTTTACTTTCAACTTCCTGCAGTTTACTGATCAGACACAATGATATGTTAGCTGTCGTTTAGCAGAAGTTGTTTTAAGTTGTTTTTAAAAAAGACAAGTTTAGCATCGTACCATTCTGTGGAAATGTTGTTGGCCTTTACTTTGTTCAGCTCGTCCTGGATGCTCTGCTTTGCCCTGATCTCAGCGTCCAGGGCCGACTGCAGCTCCAGCCGTGCAGACATGTCCAGCTTGGCCAAACGCCGCATTTTCCACGGCATGTCCTGAAACGGAGACAGAAGCAGAAACTGAGTGGATCACCAGACAGAAAGGGACTCGCCACTGCTCGACTTATGTCAGTGTAAAAGAGTGAAAGACTGTCTCCTTCGATGATATTTTAAAATGTATAATTACTGAACTAGTTTCTACCAACAACAACAACAACAACAACAACAACAACAAGGGATTTCCTTCAGTTCTGCAGCAGACAGACGACGTGTTTGTGTTTATTTACCGTGGCTCTCGCTCCCAGGCTGCTGCTTCTCAGCCCCTCCAGCTCTTCTGTCATCTTAGTGGCCAGAGCCTGCAGGTAGCCCCGAGCATCTTTCTCATCACTCACCCTGACACACACACACGGATTACTACAAATGTAAACACATCTCATGGGTGTAACTTTACCATAAAACCAAGAGTCCAACACTAAAACACACTGACAGCATCTCATTATTATTTATTTTACATATAAAGATGTATTCTACTCTCGGTCAGTACGAGCACTGATGGGCTGTTTGAAGCTCTCTACAAACATCCTTCACACACACACACACACACTCTATGTAAACACACCTTTTCACTGTTGCTCTTCAGGTCCTGTGACCCGTATCACACTTAACCATTGCTTACACATCATTCACCACACACACCAACACAAACAGACACGTTCAGCCTGCAGGTGAGCAGCTCACTAATCCTGAACGCTCAGGTAGAATAAACACTGACGGTGTTCACAGCAGACTGACGCTGACGTAAACATTTTCTGGCGCTCAGAGCGCACGCCACACACGTTTGACATTCAAAAATCAGAGTTCATGTCAAGTCGTGGAAGGATGTTTCATTCATTTTGTTTTACCTACAAGTGATCCTACTTCCTTATTTAGCCCCTGCAGTAGCAAACCCCGGCCACCAGGGGGCAACAGTGATCACTACATTCCTCTAAACCTGCATTCCACAATCAGCACTTGTACTTACATGTCTGAAGTGTGTGTGGTATGTGTGCTATGTAAAGACTTTAGGCTTGTCCAACAGTGAGAGGCTGAGCAGCTGGCGAGGCGTCAGCTGCACTGAGAAGTGATCTGAGTGGAAGGCAGGGCCGAGCAGCTCTGATCTTCAGCGGTATGTGAGAAATGCTGCAGTTATACTCCAAGAAGGAACCCGATCCACTACGAGACAGAAGCGTGTCTGCTCGCACTGAACATAAACGCCTTTGAATTGGCGCTTTAACATCAGCGGGGAAAGCGTATGCCTCAGCAAGTATTTGGGGCATTTGAGATGTTGCAGTGTGCATATGTGAGTGTGTCTTACCATTGGATGATTTCTGTGATCTGGGCCTCCCAGTGAGCTACACTCTCCTTTTTATCAGCCAGCTCCCTCATCTCATCCTCCAGCTGCCTGTTGGAGCTGCTCATCTTCTCATACTTGGTGGTTAGCTACAGGAACGTGGGGGGAGGAGAGCATGCTATTAAACACAATATTGTAAAGTGTCAAAGTCTAACGCCTGGTAAATGAACTCATTACACACAGTTTGCATTCGTGTTGTCAGTGAACATGAGAGGTTCAGGTGCTCGCGTAAAATTAATCAGCGTATTGTTGAAGACTCCCCAGCTGCTCCATCACACCAGGACCACGTGTATTACTCACATGTGAGGGTGAGATCCTCTGACATGAGCTCACTGCTCACTGCTCATTATATTTGTGGAACGAGGAAAGTGGGATAGTTAGCACTGGAACTGGTCTACAAGCTGGTTTCCAGCAAACGCAAATGTCAGTGTTGTAAAGGCTTTACGTCACTGTGACATTCTTCATGCAAACCTTTGGGGGCAAATCCACCAGCTTAGGCATGAAACATGCTCGACACACCCCTGACCTCATGTTACTATGAAAACATCCAGAACGACACAGATGTGACAGATGTGTAGCTACTCTGGTTTGGAAATGACCATCGGATGCCAGGAAATCATGGATGTAGCCATTAATGCAGTAAGCTCTACAAAATACTTCATGCTGGAGAAAGAAAACATGTCAGAGATACTGTATCACTTCTCCCCACGACTTCTTTAAACGGGCGTTTTACACTTTGTTCTGCTTAGATGAACAGAGTTTAAGATAAAGAATAATTCTGTCTTAAACCAGACGTTTCAGTTTATTCAGAGCATCTCTGATAAACAGCAGGTTTGAGCAGCAGGTGTGTATGTGCTGTATGCCTGGGATGACCATATATGGGTATCTGCTCTCTTTGAGGTCACACAGAACCAAAACCTTGGTCTCAGATTTCCTGCTCAACATTTGAAACAGCAACATTGTAACAGTGCAAATGACCAAAGTGAGACTCGCTCAACTGTGTCCGACTTGTGAAATGGCAGAAAGATGCACTTTTTATTATCAAGCATCTCTCTGAAAGTGAAATCTCTCAGTAATGTTTTTACCAGCTGATAACGATTGTTGGTTTTTAACCCTTTAAA